GTCTCACCTTTTGAAATATTCCCATCACCTTTATTGTTATCCTACTTCAGTTTCCAAGAAGAATTAGAACCCGAAAAACTCCCCTTCAATTGTCTTTCCACCTTCATAGCTACATATAGTATGTCTTCCAATTTCACATAAAGTTGCAACTCTACCACATTAGCTATATCCTTATTCAAACCATTCAAAAATCGGGCCATGGTGGCCTTCCTATCCTTCTCAACTTTTGCTCTAATCAACGCAATCTCTATCTCCTTGTGATAATCCTAGACACTCATAGAATCTTGGTAGAAGCTTTGCAATTTTTTATGAAGCTTCGTATAATAATGATTAGGCACGAACCTCTTCCTCATGATAGCCTTCAATTCTTCCCATGTATTTATAGGCCTCTTATGGCTCCTCATCATAGATGTTACTAATGGATCCCAGGTTTACTATCGTATTAGACATTTAAGTTCATTCGCAATCTTTACCTTATTTTCCTCCGAATAGTTGTGGCAATCAAATGTCAACTCTACTTTTTTTTCTCACTCCAAGTATGCTTCTGGATCACTCCTTCCTTTGAATGAAGAGATTGTCAACTTGATATTGCCCATACATCTATCAACACCATCTCCAACAAGATCTCCACCCCTTCTTTCATGCATAACTCCTCTATACCCCATGCTTCCTAACTTGACATCTATCTATACATCCTCATTAATATCATTATCCGCTTCCCATTTATCAGCATAATTCGCTCTATGATCCTGCCTTCCTTGTGTAAGTTAGCAAGTAATGTATCTTACCTATTCAATCCGTCTCTCACATCTTCAAACAACCTTTTGAACCATCGTATAAGCTCATTCGACATGTTGACTTGATTATTCTTCCCGTTTGAAGTAGAACTGTCTCTGTCAGATATCCGAATCTAGTTTAATATTTTCCTCACGAGCGTACACTCGTGTATCATTCAACTTGGTTTTTTCCCTCTATTAGTCTCACCACTCTATCATTTTTCACTCAATGTTTTCTTGCAAGTGCTTCAAAAAATTAATTCGATCTCAATCAAAATTTAACCCTTGTGGAGTCCAAACAAAGAATTGAGTAAGGAAAATAATCTATAATGACTCAAGAAGGTAGAAATTTGAACTTGAATGAAACCAATAAGTTGAACTCATTTAAGTTGCAAGATAGACATGTCGTTTATGAAAGTTGAGAGATATGCACATTAATTTTATTTTTCTAATGAATCAATATAATGACTTGTGATTTCACTGACTCGATATCATATAATTTTTGTCAGTTCAACATTTTTTGTTCACATGACTAACCTTTCTGACTTTCTTAAGTTAGAGGGTTTAGTGCTTGAGGTGGTTGCATTGAAAAATAAGCATAATATAGGAGAAATCAACATAACGGCATAAGAGCCATCACTAAAATGAAAACGACCCCTGTGTTATTCTATCTGTAGACACAAGTATAAATTGTTACGGTGTATCCGTTCCCCGAGAATTAATAAGTGGAACTTATTTACATTGTATGATAGATATGATACGTGTAAAAATAGAGAGATATGCTCATTATTTAATTGACATTAATCACTAGGATAACTTGCGCTTTAACCAATTTGATAAGATATAATTTATGCCATTTGGATCATTCTATGTCACGTGGTCAACCTTTAGGGGGTCCATTGTAGGATGTTGTATATGAGAAATCAACAAAATGGCACAAGTGCCTTACAAACAAGAAAATGACACTTGTACTTTTATGTGTGTAAATACGAGTATAAATAGTCAAGTCCCATTCGTGCGTCGAGAAATAATAAGTGAAACTTATTTACGTTGTAATAGGCATATAACATGTACAAAAGTTGAGAGATATGCTCATCAACTTAATCTACCCATATAATGACTCGTACTTTCACCATCTCGATAACATTAAAACTATTTTATTTCAACCATTCTTTATGGCATGTAGGGATGGCAACAGGATGGGATGGGGCGGGGCGGGGCCCTTGCCCTGTTTAATTTTTTTTTTAAGTTTTTGATATTTATTTTATTGCCACCATTCATTAGATTGAGATAATAATATATTTTTTAATCTTTACTTATTTTTAAAAGTGAAATTATTGAAATATATTTGATAAATTAAGGATTTTATTGTTTGTCATATTTTTTAGATAATTTTAGTTGCCATTTTCTATTAGCAGTAAAGAAGTTTCGTGAATTTTTTTCATTTAAAGTATTGAATTCTAAAAAAATTAAAAAAAAAAAAATTAAACGGGGTGGAGCACCTTTTACCCGTCCCCGACTCGAATACATGATTAAGCAGGTAATCCCCACCCCGTTCAGGGCGGGGCCACGCGGATATCGAGTTTGTCGGAT